ATTTTTTATCTATGAACTCTGGACTTCAAATACGTAACGCTCTCAAAAACATTGATGAGAAAACAGACAGTTTGACTCTATCTTGATGCGAGGAATAATAAGGACATAGGAACAGCTATTTGTAGGTTTTCTGTAAATTTTAAATTTGAATTCATTATTACCCTTAATAATTAAAACATCTAGAAAAGGCAATGAGTTATTTTCTTCAAACTCAACAGTAAAGTTTATAGAACGAGCTAAGCTATTTAATTTGCCAAGGAAATGGTGTATATCTACATTTTTGTATTCAAAAATCTTGATACAGTAAAAAAAATTTTCATAAAGAATTCCCCCCAAAATGCTGATGGATGTGTCTATAAGATTCCTTGTAAAATTTGCGACAACGTTTATTACGGTCAAACTGGTAAAAAATCTCGAACTAAGATTAAAACAACATAAATATAGCATTAGAACTGGACAAGATTCCAATGCTCTATTTTTTCATGTAAGAGACTTCAACCATCCAATTGATTTTCAAAAAGTTGAGAAAGTAGTATCAAGCAAGTCCATGGTCGACAGGAATATAATTGAATCTTGTTTCATAAAAAGCAGTTTTGACAATAATATGAATATTTCCTTTGGTTTGTATAAATTAGATCCATTTATAATTAATAGAATTTGGGAAGAATTTAATAATACATTAGACAAATAATAATTTTTAAAATTCCCTTATTTCTTGGTAGAATAGTTTGTTGGTGGGTTGTGTGAAGGACCTGTCTAGTTGGGCCGGCGGGCCTGCTGCAGTGTTCCCTTTCTTATGAGCCGCGCATCAGGTGTTTCTTTGACTCAAGAAATCGTAATGACACGAGTGCAAATAAACCGGCCGGGGGTATGGTTTATTTGCAATCGTGTCATTACGATTTCTTGAGTCATGTTGACGGCAGTGAAGGGACTTGAGCTAGAGTTCGTCACGGCCACGCTAGCTGGAGATTCGTCTGTAAAAACTTGCATTTGTGGTCACAGAGGTGCCTGTGCTAACTTTCCTATGGTGTAGAAATATACCTAGTTGGATGAATCTTATTGTGGCTAGCTGGTCTAGTGGCTAACGCGACGGGCTGGAGTTTTGAGACTCTATGACCGCGGGTTCAATCCCGGCCGGGGGTATGGTTCAGGTGTTTCTTTGTTGTGGGATCTGATAGTGAGGTGTGGGCTACCCCTTTATATACCTTCCTTTGATGCTTTACTTTCATTGTTCCTTGATAAAGGGAGTAGCCACGAAAGCACTTGGAATTTCTCTATTCTTTCACAGTGGTTGTTTTGCATATTCTGAAATTACCTGTTTACTGGACCAATGCCTTGGGGTTCAGCTTGCGCTAGACGTTTGATCCAAGGCAGCCAGCTTTCAGGGAGAAGGCTTACAGCTTTTCATCTCATCCCCTGCATGTATATTGCGCCTGCTCCTGCGAATTCCTTGCATTGTTAAAATCTCTAGTAAGGCCGATGCATGCAGGGGATAAGATGAAAAGCTGTAAGCCTTCTCCCTGAAAGCTGGCTGCCTTGGATCAAACGTCTAGCCCAAGCTGAACCCCAAGGCATTGGTCCAGTGTTGTGAGAATGGTAAGGCACTGCGTACATTGTTCCAAGGTTCGTAGTTCGAGTCTCCTTCAGCCATAGATCAGTATATATATATATATATATATATATATACATATTTATATATATATATGTCGTGCCGAATATGCAAAACTGGCCAATTAGCAAGAACTCATTTAAAATTAAGTCCTTTCTAAAATTTTCTCTTATACGTTTAAAGATATATTTTTTTCATTAATGTTGATGTAAAAATTTATAATTTTGCCCCAAAAATGAACTTAGAAAACTTACCTAACCTTATTATAACAAGAGCAATTTATTTTAGCCTAACCCAACTAAATATATTTTAGATTTGTTTACAATAATTTAATACTAAACAAACACAGTGAAATATATTTTTTTCCGTTAGGTTCAGAATGATTTTGGCGAAATTATTGCATACACAAATTTTCACTTGTCCTATATGGCAATATGAGCGTTGCTATTTAAGCCAAAATCGCAAGTTCTGTCTATTCGGCACGACATATATATATATTATATATTTTATATAAAATATATATATATATATATAATTTTATATATATATATTATATATATATAATATATATATATATATTATATTAGTATATATATATATGTCGTGCCGAATAGGCAGAACTTGCGATCTTGGCTTAAATAGCAACGCTCATCTTGCCATATAGGACAAGTGAAAATTTGGGTATGTAAATATTTCGCCAAAATCATTCTGAACATAACGAAAAAAATATATTTCACTGTGTTTGTTTAGTATTAAATTATTGTAAACAAATCTAAAATATATTTAGATGCGTTAGGCTAAAATAAATTGTTCTTTTTATAATAAGGTTAGGTAAGTTTTCTAAGATTCTTTTGGAGCAAAATTAAAATTTTTTACAATAACATTAATGAAAAAAATATATCTTTAAACGTATTAGAGAAAATTTTAAAAAGGACTTAATTTTAAATGAGTTCTTGCTAATTGACCAGTTTTACATGTTCGGCACGACATATATATATATATATATATATATTATATATATATATATATATATATATATATATATATATATATATATATATATATATATATCACTTTTGCGGCGAAAACATATTATACTTAATATTAATGAGTGAGTCAGATGTACATTTTCCGTGCAGGTGTGGAGGGTTGGAAGCAGGGGCAGTAATGTGGTACAACAGCTACTGGTGGCGGGTATGTTAGATGTTTTGAACCACTCAGGATCTTCAAGAACCGTGCGGGTGCCTCCTGAGTCACTTACGGAGGTGAAGGACGCTCTGCAGGATGCCGGCATTCCCTACCAGGTTCTCATCCACGACCTGGCCGCCCACCTCCAGGTCAGGATGCTCTTATTGTTATCATCAGGTAAAAATCTCATGTGATAAATTTTTACGATGTAAAAATCACATGTGAAAAATGTTACGGGTTCTGTTAGGTCATCAGCTCACAAATAAGTGGAACCTGGTTCAATCCTGGTTGTCCTGAGACGTTTAAGCAAGTAAATAGGTACCCAAGAGCTAGTCCACTGTTATGTATGCATCCTAGAAAAATTATCTAAAGACTCTAATAAAAATAAGTCACACTGATTTTTTGGGTCTATTCAGGTTCTTAACTCCCAGGATACAAACTATTATAGCTTGTGGTGAATGGCTACTTCATTCCGGAGATCTGAGGATCAAACCCTCGAAGGGAAAAAAATTAACAGACCGGGGTTAAAAATCGGAATAGTTTCTACAAGATGCGTGTCAGTACTGCTGTTATTCCTATGGTGGCAATAACAGCCGCTGGCATATGATAACGTTAAGATTATGCTGTTGCGTAACTAAAGTCAGTTGAGTTATACGGGGTCAGCCATATTGGACGTGACTCGTACGAACATGTGGTATTAAGTTTTGTTATAAGTTATACTTTACATCATTACTTGAACATTATCTCTCCTACACTGGAAATGATGCAAAAAATAAATAAATAAATAAATAAATAAATAAAAAAAAATAAAAAATTCTCGAAGCCTACTCGTGAGCTTCCTGATGACGCTATTCTTCATGGTATAATACTCTTGCAAGTGCATTAGAAAAAGTTCTTTTCGAAATTGAGTAGCACGTATAGCCTTTGAATAGTTAAAAATGCAGTTTTTCAATCGCAATAACAAAACACTATCGCACTGTATAGAAGAGGTTTATTAAGAGAGGTTACTGTACTTGTTGTGAGACTGGGCGAGAGGTTAACCAGACTGGCAAGTGTTTGGGACTGAGAGGAAAACAAACATGTGTAACAAAAGTAGACTTTTCTTTATTATTTTGATCAGTGGGAAGAGCTAAACCGTAGGGTTATAGAGCGCCTGGGGAGCCAGGTTTGATCAGTGATGGGGAGGATATGCTCAGCTCCTTGGATCAAGAGCCCCCACCAGCATCAAGGCACCTTTGAGGGAAGACCTTTTATTAAAGTTTTACCTACAAGAGGATTTATCAAATACATAAGGTAAAGCCTCTTGTAAGTGAAGAATAAGCAGGTAACATGACTAGTGTTTACTGACATGTCTACTTTGTGTGAATTATTATTATTATTATCAAAAAGAAGCGCTAAACCACAAGTTACTTTGTGTGAAGAATAAGCAGGTAACATGACTAGTGTTCACTGACATGTCTACGAGGTGTGGAGAATCAGGTGGTAACATTACTAGTGTAAAGTAAAAGGACACAAGTGCAACTAATGTGACATTTATTGTGGCAACGTTTCGCTCTCCAGGAGCTTTATCAAGCTATTACAAACAATACATGGACACAGAGGGTATATAAAGGCTCTGAGTGAGGTGCAATACTAGTGAGGTACCATTTCGATGTTCACTAGTGGTAGTAGTAGTAGTAGTAGTGGTAGTGACAAAAGTAATACAATATGGAAGAGCAAATAATTCGTACATGAGTAAAAGGATATAAAAGCTATTACTTGGGTAACATAAAAAATAGGTTGGACAAATTAAAACTGGAAAGAGGCAGGTTTTTTTCGGTGTTCACTCTCTGTAATGTGCTTGTGTGTATAACAGGAGAGACTATGTGATGGCAGGGTTTACTGTTTTCAGGAGGATTCTTGCTAAGACTTCGGAGATGGTGAAGCTGCCGTTGTTTTGTTTAATTGTATTCGAAACAGCGATCAGTGCTGATTCAAGGCACTTGCGTGTGTGGAAAATAGTTTCTTTTATCACTAATTGGGCGTGTCTGAATTTCATAAGATGATTGGTGGAATTTCGGTGTTGTACACAGGCGTTGTTTAAGTTGTCGTTCCTACATGCGTATATGTGTTCATTGAGGCGGGTGTCGAGGTTTCTTGCTGTTTCACCTACGTAGATCTTGTGTACGAATGGTATATAATACCGACAAGATGAGAGTAAGACACATGTGCAACATCTGGGTATCTTTATTGTAGACGTTTCGCCATCCAGTGGCTTTATCAATACAAATTCTAGGACATAACTTGAAGACAGTAGAACTATGTACAGAAGATGAGGTAATCAGTCCCTCAACCTAGGAGTCGGTGCGAACAGCACCATAGTCGTGGACTATGGTGCTGTTCGCACCTACTCCTAGGTTGAGGGACTGATTACCTCATCTTCTGTACATAGTTCTACTGTCTTCAAGTTATGTCCTAGAATTTGTATTGATAAAGCCACTGGATGGCGAAACGTCTACAATAAAGATACGTAGATCTTGTCACAGCCTCCACAGGGTATAGTGTTAACTCCTGCATTGACTGGTTCGTGGTGCTTGGGTTTTGTCCTGGTTAGATCCTTTATTGAAGTGGTAGAAGCGATGGCGACTCTGGTGTTAGCTTGTGAAAGTACTTTTGAGACGTTTAGTGCAACCTGGCTGTTGGGAAGAATTATAACTGTTGGGAGCGGTATTGATGCGTGGAGAATTGATGATCTGAAGAGCTCTTTTCTTGCAGTCTTTGATGAAAAAAGAAGGAAATTGTGACTCAGTGAATGTTTGGTGAATGTAAGTACATTCCTCGTCAAGAAACTCAGGACTACAAATTCGGTATGCTCTTAGGAAAAACCCGATGATGATGCCTCTTTTGGTCTTGGTATCTTGACTGGAATAGAAGTGTGTGAGATCATTTTTATTGGTGGGTTTCCGATAAACTTGAAATCTTAGGTTGTTGTCTACTTTGTGAATGAGACAACAACCTAAGATTTCAAGTTTATCGGAAACCCACCAATAAAAATTATCTCACACACTTCTATTCCAGTCAAGATACCAAGACCAAAAGAGGCATCATCATCGGGTTTTTCCTAAGAGCATACCGAATTTGTAGTCCTGAGTTCTTGACGAGGAATGTACTTACATTCACCAAACATTCACTGAGTTACAATTTCCTTCTTTTTTCATCAAAGACTGCAAGAAAAGAGCTCTTCAGATCATCAATTCTCCACGCATCAACACCGCTCCCAACAAAGTTATAATTCTTCCCAACAGCCAGGTTGCACTAAACGTCTCAAAAGTACTTTCACAAGCTAACACCAGAGTCGCCATCGCTTCTACCACTTCAATAAAGGATCTAACCAGGACAAAACCCAAGCACCACGAACCAGTCAATGCAGGAGTTTACACTATACCCTGTGGAGGCTGTGACAAGATCTACGTAGGTGAAACAGCAAGAAACCTCGACACCCGCCTCAATGAACACATATACGCATGTAGGAACGACAACTTAAACAACGCCTGTGTACAACACCGAAATTCCACCAATCATCTTATGAAATTCAGACACGCCAAATTAGTGATAAAAGAAACTAATTTCCACACACGCAAGTGCCTTGAATCAGCACTGATCGCTGTTTCGAATACAATTAAACAAAACAACGGCAGCTTCACCATCTCCGAAGTCTTAGCAAGAATCCTCCTGAAAACAGTAAACCCTGCCATCACATAGTCTCTCCTGTTATACTACACAAGCACATTACAGAGAGTGAACACCGAAAAAAACCTGCCTCTTTCCAGTCTATATTTGTCCAACCTATTTTTTATGTTACCCAAGTAATAGCTTTTATATCCTTTTACTCATGTACGAATTATTTGCTCTTCCATATTGTATTATTTTTGTTACTACTACTACTACTACTACTACCACTAGTGAACATCGAAATGGTACCTCACTAGTATTGCACCTCACTCAGAGCCTTTATATACCCTCTGTGTCCATGTATTGTTTGTAATAGCTTGATAAAGCTCCTGGAGAGCGAAACGTTGCCACAATAAATGTCACATTAGTTGCACTTGTGTCCTTTTACTTTACATATTGTCGGTAATTCTACCAACTTTATTACAACATTACTAGTGTTTACTGACATGTCTACGAGGTGTGGAGAATCAGGTGGTAACATTACTAGTGTTTACGGACATGTCTACGAGGTGTGGAGAATCAGGTGGTAACATTACTAGTGTTTACTGACATGTTTACGAGGTGTGGAGAATCAGGTGGTAACATCACTAGTGTTTACGGACAATTACATGTTTACGTTTTGCGGAGAGAGGCTTCATCTCCCAGGTGACTCTCAGTCCATTATTTTATTTTGTAAGAGTTTGACCTGGTGATTCTCAGGACCACAAATTGCCGTACAGTACATAAGACAAGATTTTCTTCAGATTTTTAACCCCGGAGGGTTAGCCACCCAGGATAACCTAAGTCAGTGCGTCATCGAGGAGTCTAACTTATTTCCATTGAGGTCCTCAATCTTGTCCCCCAGGATGCGACCCACACCAGTCGACTAACATTCAGGTACCTATTTGCTGCTAGGTGAACAGGGCAACAGATGAACATCAAAATGGTATACAATACCGACAGGTTGGTAGGTAAGACACATAAGCAACAGTTAGGCAACTTTATTCCGAAACGTTTCGCCTACACAGTAGGCTTCTTCAGTCGTAGGCAGGAACAGTAGAGAAGACGATGTAATCAGTCCATCACCCTTAAAGTCGTAGAATTTGAGGTTGTCAGTCCCTCGGCCTGGAGAAGTTCAGTTCCATAGTCAGGAACTATCTGAAGATCAAGCGACAGTGCGGAGACTTAAATACTGTCGGAAGGAGAGGTGCAGAGTAGTAGTAGTAGTGAGAATGTAACCACTGAAAGGTCAGGTCCCTCTCAGATCCAACAATTCTCACTTGAAAAGTTTGTCCAAGGTGTTTTCTGTATCAAGATGCTATGTGTTGCAGTGTCTGACAAGATGAACATCAAAATGGTATACAATACCGACAGGTTGGTAGGTAAGACACATAAGCAACAGTTAGGCAACTTTATTCCGAAACGTTTCGCCTACACAGTAGGCTTCTTCAGTCGAATACAGAAAGTAGGCAGGAACAGTAGAGAAGACGATGTAATCAGTCCATCACCCTTAAAGTCGTAAAAATTTGAGGTTGTCAGTTCCCTCGGCCTGGAGAAGTTCAGTTCCATAGTCAGGAACTATCTGAAGATCAAGCGACAGTGCGGAGACTTAAATACTGTCGGAAGGAGAGGTGCAGAGTAGTAGTAGTAGTGAGAATGTAACCACTGAAAGGTCAGGTCCCCTCCCCAGATCCAACAATTCTCACTTAAAAAGTTTGTCCAAGGTGTTTTCTGTATCAAGATGCTATGTGTTGCAGTGTCTGACAAGATGAACATCAAAATGGTATACAATACCGACAGGTTGGTAGGTAAGACACATAAGCAACAGTGGTTACATTCTCACTACTACTACTACTCTGCACCTCTCCTTCCGACAGTATTTAAGTCTCCGCACTGTCGCTTGATCTTCAGATAGTTCCTGACTATGGAACTGAACTTCTCCAGGCCGAGGGACTGACAACCTCAAATTCTACGACTTTAAGGGTGATGGACTGATTACATCGTCTTCTCTACTGTTCCTGCCTACTTTCTGTATTCGACTGAAGAAGCCTACTGTGTAGGCGAAACGTTTCGGAATAAAGTTGCCTAACTGTTGCTTATGTGTTTTAAACCTACCAACCTGTCGGTATTGTATACCATTTTGATGTTCATCTTGTCAGACACTGCAACACATAGCATCTTGATACAGAAAACACCTTGGACAAACTTTTCAAGTGAGAATTGTTGGATCTGAGAGGGACCTGACCTTTCAGTGGTTACATTCTCACTACTACTACTACTCTGCAACCTCTCCTTCCGACAGTATTTAAGTCTCCGCACTGTCGCTTGATCTTCAGATAGTTCCTGACTATGGAACTGAACTTCTCCAGGCCGAGGGACTGACAACCTCAAATTCTACGACTTTAAGGGTGATGGACTGATTACATCGTCTTCTCTACTGTTCCTGCCTACTTTCTGTATTCGACTGAAGAAGCCTACTGTGTAGGCGAAACGTTTCGGAATAAAGTTGCCTAACTGTTGCTTATGTGTCTTACCTACCAACCTGTCGGTATTGTATACCATTTTGTGTTCATCTTGTCAGACACTGCAACACATAGCATCTTGATACAGAAAACACCTTGGACAAACTTTTCAAGTGAGAATTGTTGGATCTGAGAGGGACCTGACCTTTCAGTGGTTACATTCTCACTACTACTACTACTCTGCACCTCTCCTTCCGACAGTATTTAAGTCTCCGCACTGTCGCTTGATCTTCAGATAGTTCCTGACTATGGAACTGAACTTCTCCAGGCCGAGGGACTGACAACCTCAAATTCTACGACTTTAAGGGTGATGGACTGATTACATCGTCTTCTCTACTGTTCCTGCCTACTTTCTGTATTCGACTGAAGAAGCCTACTGTGTAGGCGAAACGTTTCGGAATAAAGTTGCCTAACTGTTGCTTATGTGTCTTACATACCAGGGCAACAGGTGTAAGGAAACGCGTCGAAATGTTTCCATCCACCGGGAATCGAACCCGGGCCCTCCGTGTGTGAAGCGAGAGCTTTAGCCACCGGGCCACCGAACCAGGCCACCGGGCCATCTCCTTACAGGTGACACGAAATAGGATAATGTACTTGATGAGTAAGAAACATGTGCTGCACAAGAATATCTTTACTGGAGTAACATTACCTGCCCAGCAGCTTTATCATTAATGTAATACAGCAACATGAGGTGAAAGAAGTGAAATGATGAAAGAGCAAAGTGGTCACGTCAGTGCCTAAACAGAGCTTGCTGAGTGTACGTGTAAATTTAAGTTTGTTCGGTCCCTTAGATTTCAATAACATTCTGTGAAAAATGTTCAGGCCCCTTAGCCCTAATTAACATTCTTTGAAAAATGTTCACTTGGTGAATGTAATAAATAGTAAGGACGGAGGCTCTTATACCGGAGTCAGTGGAAGAAGTGTTGAGGTGCTTATGTGTCTTATTCATCAAGTTGACGGTGCTGTGTACCTTCATTTCCAGTGTAACTAACATGTAACCCATGACGTCACATGCAATACCTTAATATAAAAATACCACAGTGAAAATAGGAAAAAACATCTGAACGTTTTCATGTGTTAACACACATCTTCAGAGGGTAGTGTCTACTAACAGCAGCAGTACATGTACTGTTTACATAGTGTGTTGCATACAGCACCATATACACGTACTGTACACATAGTGTGTTGCAGGCAGCAGCAACAGCACATGTATTACACTTGTGTGTTGCAGGCAGCAGCAGCACATGTATTACACTTGTGTGTTGCAGGCAGATGCAGCACATGTATTACACTTGTGTGATGCAGGCAGCAGCAACACATGTACTACACTTGTGTGTTGCAGGCAGCAGCAGCAGCACATGTACTACACATGTGTGTTGCAGGCAGCAGCAGCACATGTACTACACTTGTGTGTTGCAGACAGCAGCAGCACATGTACTACACTTGTGTGTTGCAGGCAGCAGCAGCAGCACAGGTACTACACTTTTGTGTTGCAGGCAGCAGCAGCAGCACATGTACTACACTTGTGTGTTGCAGGCAGCAGCAGCACATGTACTACACTTGTGTGTTGCAGGCAGCAGCAGCAGCACATGTACTACACTTGTGTGTTGCAGGCAGCAGCAGCAGCACATGTACTACACTTGTGTGTTGCAGGCAGCAGCAGCACATCTACTACACTTGTGTGTTGCAGGCAGCAGCAGCACATGTACTACACTTGTGTGTTGCAGGCAGCAGCAGCAGTACATGTACTACACTTGTGTGTTGCAGGCAGCAGCAGCAGCACATGTACTACACTTGTGTGTTGCAGGCAGCAGCAGCAGCACATGTACTACACTTGTGTGTTGCAGGCAGCAGCAGCAGTACATGTACTACACTTGTGTGTTGCAGGCAGCAGCAGCAGCACATGTACTACACTTGTGTGTTGCAGGCAGCAGCAGCAGCAGCACATGTACTACACTTATGTGTTGCAGGCAGCAGCAGCACATGTACTACACTTGCGTGTTGCAGGCAGCAGCAGCACATGTACTACACTTGTGTGTTGCAGGCAGCAGCAGCGCATGTACTACACTTGTGTGTTGCAGGCAGCAGCAGCACATCTACTACACTTGTGTGTTGCAGGCAGCAGCAGCAGCACATGTACTACACTTGTGTGTTGCAGGCAGCAGCAGCAGCACATGTACTACACTTGTGTGTTGCAGGCAGCAGACGAGGAAGGACGGGAGAGACGTTCAGCTGACAACAGCAGCTGCACAGTAAGCAGCTGTCCAGCGCCCCTCAACACACACTACATGACTTTCTCTCAGGTCAGTGAGAGTCTGTGCTTTCTTAAACTGAACTTACTAACTTCTCTTATTTGGCAAGCATCAGTTTGCCAAACAAGCTGATTGATACAATAACGAATCGAAAATTAGTCTGAGAATCTTGAAATTAATGTATATTGTTGTAAAGTTATATAATAATGACTGAATTTAGGCAATCCCAAAACAGTTCGGGTAGTATAAAACTGTTTTGGAATTACATTTAGGAAGGTTAGGTTGTAAAGTTTTGGTGCAGAATGTAATGACACTTGGTCAACCACAGGTACTGTTCACCACGTCATCATGTCTTGCTAGATATAAAGATTATATTACTGAATATGACTATTTTTTTTAAGTAGGCTGTGCACACATTTCGTCTCGAAAGTTTTGTCTCTACGCCATTATTATTATTATTATTATTATTATTATTATTATTATTATTATTATTATTATTATTATTATTATTATTATTATTATTATTATTATTATTATTATTGTTGTTGTTGTTGCTGTTCTTGTTCTTGTTGTTTCTATTTTTATTATTGTTATCAAATTAAATTTAGCATAAATCTCTAATGGTCACATAGCGCCTAAAGAATGGGAGCTTAATCCAAAGAAGGAGAAGGTAACTCCAACTACTTGGATCAAGAGACTTTCAGCTTCAAGGCTCCTCCCGGTAAATGGTTTACGGTAACAATTATTTGCTACACGTATTTTATTAGTTTAATAAGTAAAGGGTACGTACAGATATACTTCCTTCTATGATGCCTCGATGTTGGCTGTTCTTCCTATCTCTGGATCAAGCCTAGTTACCTCGAATTCCACAGGCGCTGTACACGATACCCCCTTTCCGTACGAGTTTAGTGCTTTATCCCTAGTACAACGTGGTTGGTTAATGGATTTAAAACCATAACCTTTTCCTACAACCTTTTCACCACCATTAAGAATATTTTAATCCCTGAAATAGGGACTCAAACAGACACTCTGTATACACTGAGGAGATATAACTGTCGATGTATATTGTATGACGATCATTAAACAATGACGTTGATTCTTGTATATCAGTAGTATTTATTATACAAGGACAAGCATATTAATAAAACAATATACTGAGAAAATGTTTCGTTCATCCTAGATTTTATTAATTCACACACTAATGTCCCTGGCGCACGAAATGTCTTTTCTATAGCATTCCGTGGACCTCATAGTGTACACAAATAACCCGCACAGAGGAGAGAGGAGCTTACGACGACCGAAACGTCGTCGTAACTCCTCTCGTAAGCGGTGTTACTTGTGTATTGTTCCAGTCACGGTATTGCGCCTTTTTATTCTTTACCTCTTATTAAACCTCATCAATTTATTTCAGCATGATAAAATATTTGTACAGATATGGGTGACATTTAGCCATGCATGCAGGAAACCCATAGTTATGCAGAAGCATCTTCTCTTCATGTTTTAATCTGATGACTGAATGTTATCACCTTGTTCACTGTATATTGTGTTTTAGATGGAGTGGTATCTGAGAGATGTCAACACTTCCTCACCCACCAGGATCACCGTCTCATCCATCGGCAAGTCTGTGGAAGGTCGCAACATCTGGCTGGCTCACATCTTGCCTTCTCAACCGTCAGACAAGGCTGTCTGGCTTGAGGCTGGTCAGTACATAATGATTAATTATAAACTTTATGTCTGCAAAGTATGGCTTACAGTTGATTTGGGAAAGGTGATATTATTCACTATTTTTTATGCTGTTGATTTCTTTCTTGATTCAGTTGATATTTCTTGAAAGTTCAGAAATTGTCGTGATGCGTAGGTAATAGCTTAGTAAATATCAACCATTAGGGTTATATACTACCGTTCTGTTGTAGGTGATAGTCTGGTAGACAGCAACCTTCATGGATAGATGCTTCTGTTTTGTTGTACGTCAATTGAGAGGGTAATTGATGACTTGTCTAGGAATTTAAACTGGTAGATTATAGAGGTATGGGTGTTTGTGGGAAACAATCAGGCTGCAGCATTAGGGTTAAAAACAGCAGTTATTGCCGGGATACCTCAGGGATATGTTTAAAAGACAATATTCAAAATAAAGTTGCAAGTAATGGCAAGTCAATTGATCAACAAAGAGGGATAGTAGAGGGCAACGAGTGACTAGCTCCCTTAAGGTTTACTATACAAATAGTAGGAGTCTAAGAAATAAGATAGGTGAGTTAAGATTACTTGCAAGTGTAGGTAATATAGATATTATTGGTATAACAGAGACCTGGTTCAACCTGAAAGATAGAGAAATGCCTTCTGAATGCAATATAGAGGGTTATAAACTATTCCACACTGATAGGGTCAGCAGGAAGGGTGGTGGTGTGGCGATGTATGTCAGAGAAAATTTAAATTGTTGTCTTAGACATGATATAAGATTAGAAATATCGAACACAGAATCTGTTTGGCTACAGTTTCTCGAGGGACATGACAAATTAATTTTGGGTGTGATAGGGAGGGCAGTAAGCTGTTATGGGACGAAATTCATAAGGCATCTAGATATGAAAATGTTGTGATAATGGGAGATTTTAACTTTAGACAAATTGATTGGAACAATATGACAGGAAATCTTGAGTCTAGTGACTTTCTTGATACGGTTCAGGATTGCTTTTTAGAACAGGTTGTGACAGAACCAACTAGAGGAAACAATCTGCTTGACTTGGTTCTTGCCAACAAAGATTCACTAATTAATAATCTTGAGGTTAATGATGAGCTTGGGAAAAGTGATCACAAATCACTTAGTTTTAATATATCATGGAATTACCCAGATAACTGCAATCAAATCTCTGTCCCAGATTTTCGCTTGGCCGACTTCATGGGACTGAAAAATTACCTGGGTGGGCTAAATTGGAATGTCCTGACTATGGGTCAGGTAGGTGATCTTGGTTGCCAATATGACGTTTTTCAGACCATAGTTCTAGCTGCCGAGACAACTTTTGTTCCGAGTAGGGAAATTAGATCTAACAAAAATGATCCCAAATGGATGAACAATAGATTAAAACATCTCATTGGTCAAAAGAGAGGCATATATAGGCGTATCAAAAGAGGGGATGGGCAGTTAAGAAATCAATATGTTAAATTAAAGAGAGAAATAAAGAAAGGAATAAGAGCAAAAAGGGATTATGAGGCTAAGGTCGCAAGGGATTCAAAGACTAACCCAGAAGGGTTCTTTCAAGTATACAGAAGTAAAATTAGGGACAAGATTGGCCCAATTAAGAGTAACTCTGGTCAGATCACTGACAGTGATAAGGATATGTGTGAAATTCTAAATATATACTTCCTCTCAGTTTTCACCCAGGAAAATACTAGCGATATTCCTGAAATAATAGATTATGAAGAACAGGATGATAATAAACTATGTACGATTGCGGTAACTAGTGACATGGTCCTCAGACAAATAGAGAAACTAAAACCCAACAAATCCCCAGGTCCTGATGAACTGTTTGCAAGGGTGTTAAAGGAATGTAAAGAGGAACTTAGCATACCTTTGGCTAATCTTTTTAACATATCACTACAAACTGGCATAGTGCCTGATAAGTGGAAAATGGCAAATGACAGGTCCTTGGCTTCGAACTATAGACCAATAAGTGGGAAAATTTATGGAATCAATAATTGCCGAAGCAATTCGTAGCCATCTTGACAGGCACAGATTGATTAATGAATCTCAACATGGTTTTACAAAGGGGCGTTCCTTTCTTACGAATTTACTAACTTTTTTCACTTATGTGTTTGAGGAGGTAGATCATGGTAATGAATATGTTATTGTGTATATGGACTTCAGTAAGGCTTTCGATAGAGTTCCATACCAGAGGCTGTTGAGGAAACTTAAGGCACACGGAATAGGAGGAGAATTTTTTTCCTGGGTAGAGGCATGGTTGACAAATAGACAGCAGAGAGTTTGCATAAATGGGGAGAAATCAGAATGGGGGCACGTCACAAGCGGTATTCCTCAGGGGTCAGTGTTGGGCCCGTTGTTGTTCATAATTTACATAAACGACACAGATGAGGGAATAAATAGCGACATAAGCAAATTTGCTGATGACACCAAAACAGGCCGTCCAATTCATTCTAATGAGGACACTAGAGCACTCCAGGATGATTTGAATAGACTGATGCAATGGTCGGAGAAGTGGCAGATACAGTTTAATTTTGACAAATGCAAAGTTCTAAATGTTGGACAGGTAAATAACCATGTCACATATAAACTAAATAATGTAGATCTTAATACTACTGATTGCGAAAAGGATTTAGGAGTTCTGGTTATCAGTAATCTAAAACCAAGACAACAGTGCATTAGTGTTCACAATAAAGCTAACAGAATTCTTGGCTTCATATCTAGAAGTATAAATAATAGAAGTCCTCAGGTTGTTCTTCAACTCTATATATCCTTGGTTAGGCCTCATTTAGACTATGCTGCTCAGTTCTGGTCACCGTATTACATAATGGATATAAATGCTCTGGAAAACGTACAGAGGAGGATGACAAAGATGAACCCATGTATCAGAAATCTTCCCTATGAGGATAGACTGAGGGCCCTGAATCTGCACTCTCTCGAAAGGTGTAGAATTAGGGGGGATATGATCGAGGTGTATAAATGGAAAACATGAATAAATAAAGGGGATGTAAATAGCGTGCTGAAAATTTCCAGCCAAGACAGGACTCGCAGCAATGGTTTCAAGTTGGAAAAAATCAGATTCAGGAAGGATATAGGAAAGCACTGGTTTGGTAATAGAGTTGTGGATGAGTGGAACAAACTCCCGAGTACAGTTATTCAGGCTAAAACGTTGTGTAGTTTTAAAAATAGGTTAGATAAATACATGAGTGGGTGTGGGTGGGTGTGAGTTGGACCTGACTAGCTTGTGCTGCTGGGTCTGGTGCAATGCTCCATCCTTGAGTGGAGATGATCAGACTGGGTGGGTCATTGGGCTAATCCGGGGGGGGGAGGATTCATAGGTCTAATCCGGGGGGGACATATACCTGCTCCGCATGGGTCAGTAGGCCTGTTGCAGTGTTCCTTCTTTCTTATGTTCTTATGTAAGCTTGCTGAACGTTTTACACTGTGGAAAGATTGTTTGTCCATTCTGTCTAATGAGCAAGTAAGAGGGCAGTTAATTAAATCTTAAATAATGTGATTTACATTATGTACAGTGGTTGCAAAAAAAAGTCTTTACATGTCCAACGCAATAAAAAAACTATACACGAAATTTTAGTGCATACATTTCACTCGTGTTTCCGCCGTAGGAAACGTGTGATGACGTAGTGTACTGGAGCCCGTCTTGCTCCATTGTTCCTCACCATGCCACCTTCAGTGCTCTGCCAGAGGTCTGTGAGGAATGAGTCGAACTAAACTTTCAATTGCAGAGAAGACCCGTGCACTCACCCTATTAGAGCAAGGCATGTCTGTGATACGCGAAGCCACAGACCTGAATGTGACGTGGATGACAATTTACAAACCTCAATAAAGCAGCTGCCTCACTCCCACCTGGCACCGTACCATACAAAAAGACTTCTCTTCGCACAGACAAGATCCTGAATAGGGAAGTGCTATCAGATCCTGCCATAACAGCCACAGACCTCAAAAAAAAGCCAGGTGGGAGTGAGGCAGCTGCTTGAGGTTGTAAACTGTCATCCTCGTCGCCTTCAAGTCTGCGGCTGTGTATCACAGACATGCCTTGCTCTAATAAGGTGAGTACACGGGTCTTCTCTGCAATTGCAAGTTTAGTTCGATCCATTCTGACCACTTGGAGCGGAGATATGGTGTGGAAAAGTTCGTGGTCGAGTGAATAAAGGGCACTATGGAACAATATAGCAGGCCTCCTTCCTCATCGACCTCTGGCAGAGCATTCAAATGTGGCATGGTGAGGCACAATGGAGCAAGATGGGCCCCAGTACACTACGTCATCACACTTTTCCTAAGGCGGAAATGCAAGTAAAATTTATGCAGCGAAATAGTGATGCAAGATGGCAGCGGTCCCCCTAAGCCTCCTCCAACCCCCACCCAACGACCGGGCCCCCACCCCCACAGCGACCCGTGACCCTGCGCTCCCCGGCCCACGCTCTAGCACCTGGATTGCCCCCGCTGTGCCCCCTCTTTTTTGACCCCCTTTTTGGACCCCTTTTTTGACCCCCTCTTTTTTACCCTACTCTCACCCCCACCCCCCATCTCACCCTCTCCTACTCCCGGATGGTCCCCGCTCCTCGGGTCAAGTTTGGGAGGTTGCAAACTTTCCATTTATTTGTTCTCTCCATCGCCTTGGATCAACTTTTACCTTGAATTTTCGGATTTTTTAATTACCCTCTATTACAACCCAGGAGTCCAAATGGCCTGTTATCCTGGGTGTAAAGGGAGCAAAATAAACACAGCAGAAAACTTTCGACTTATATTATCCTTCACCATTTAGAACAGAAGTATGTACACTATATACACTATGTACAGTGATAGGTATTAGTGCACTCCACGGTAAGCAAGGCAGAATAGAAGCCACTAGAGATCAGACCGTGCTTCAACCAGCTATTGAATGGGAATGACAAGGGCAGACAGGAGAGTGGTACCCACATAACCTCTGCGATTGCCAAAACCATCTTCTCATTGGCTGGAACCTTGATACTGATTGAACGACGG